ATCATACATTTCCATTTTTTTCTTGAAACCTACAGTCCAGTTTGGAGACAGACATCAATCATATAATTGTACAAATAAATGTGGAACTAAAATTGTAAATTATAAAACAAAATATTAACATCTATTTAATTTTATTGAGGGGTAGATAGATGTACGTTGCATTGTTTTTTGCACCTTGTAATATATAAAGAAATATTTCAAAATGAAATAATTTTGATGTTTAAAAAATAAGTTATACCTATGAAAAATGTTGCCATGAAAGCACTTAAGGAGGGCCTTGGCTAGTGTGGCTCAGTTGACTGGGTGCTCCTGTGCACCGGTCACTGGTTTGATTCCTGGTCAGGAGCACATGCCCAAGTTGCAGGCTTAATCATGGGAGGCATGCACGAGGCAGCCTATAGATGTTACTCTCTCACATTGATGGTTCTATCTTTCTCCCCCTCTCCTGTCCTCTGTCTTGAAAATCAGTAAAAAAAAAAAAAAATCTAAGGAGGAATCTAACTTTTCCTGAGGTGTTAGGAAACTGTGCTAGAGGAAGTGTTGATGGAGCTTAACTTGGGAAAGAGGAAAAGAAGTTGACTATGCAAAGATATATGCATGTGGGAGGGTGTGCACAGATGTTCAAGGGCCAACTTTATGCAGATGAGTATATTTGAGACAGCTAAGGTTAAAGGAACAGGATGAATGTGAGATAATGTAATATTCGTAGGCAGCCCACAGTGACCCAAGTTGGGCTACAAGCAAGGGATGTCATGGGAACAGCAGAAAACAAGTCCGGGCAGAAGAGATGGGGCCCATGACTGCAAGGTGTTTGAGTAATTGAGCTGGCAGCAAATAGTTGCTGTGTGTTTCTGGATCTGATGGATTGGAACAGGCACAGTGCAGATAGGAAGATCACCTAGGAGAGGCCCCGGAGTGCTTAACTACTGCTAGCAGTGAAAATGGAAAAAGGGAAAAGAATGAGGGAGATTAGGAAGACAGCATCCGTAGGAATAGGGCACTCATTAGGTGGAATTGAACAGGCAAGCACAGTGTTGATCTTTAAGGGACAGATTATATTAATATAAGTAGTCATGTCAGGGTAGAAATACCTTTTAGATGGAATTGATGGAGATGGGAGACTTGACATGAAAATTATACTGGAGGAAGTTGAAAGTTAACAGTATTCTATTTCATGAGTAGGGAGATTTATTGGAAATGTAGCCAATGGCAAAGTAGGGTGGATCTTAGACTAGGTTTTCAAGAACTTTGATCCTTTTTCACTTCCTGTGGGTGCTTTATATCACAGATTTAGCTGCAAGTATGCAGGATTTGGGTTTAGATGAAGATGTAGCTGATCTTTAAAAACCTAGTTTAAGAAAACAAACCAGATTGGTTTGTTTGAGTTTTATTTTAAGTTTTCAAAATGGTTTATTTCAATTGTTCAATTTATAGAAGCCACGCAGGGTGGTAGTAGTAAAGTGGACAGGATCATGTTAAACCCCAGTTTTTCCTTATTAGTTATGGGCTCTTTGTCAAGTTACTTACTTGCCTTGTGTCCTCATCTTCAGACAGGGCTACCTTTTCAGTAGTTTGTGGTGATGGTGCAATGAGGTAGTCCTATGATGTGCTGGGAACAGTGTTTGGCACCTGAGAAGAACACAATCAATGTTGTTATGGTTTCTAAGAAGAAAATGCCAAATAATGTAAAACTAGATAAATAAAAATAAATTTTTGTTTCCTTGAAATAAAATGAGAACTCAAAAACACAATTTCATGTTTTACTTATAATTGCTTATTAGAAATGAGGTGTGGTCAAGTGAGGCTCTTAGCATGATGTCCTCCAGGTTCATGTATGTTGTCACAAATGGCGGGATTTCTCATTTTTAAAGTGGAATAATATTTCATTGTGTGTGTGTGTGTGTGTGTGTGTGTGTGTATTTTCTTTATTGATTTACTTAATAGACACAAGTTGTTTCCATATCTTGCATATTGTGAATAATGATGAAATTCGTGAGCATGGATATACAGATATCTCTTTGAGATCCTGACTTAATTTCCTTCAGGTAAATAACCAGAAGTGGTATTACTAGATTGTATAATAGTTCAACTTTTAATTTTTTGAGGAATCTCCATAATTTTTTCCACAGTGGCTGTACCAATTTACATTTCCACCAAAAGTGCCTGAGGGTTCCCTTTTCTCCGCATTCTCATCAATATTTGTTACTTCTTTTTTTTCTGATGATAGAAAAATTATAAAAGAAGGGCTCTCTTTGTGTAAGTGTGAGGGAGCTGGTGTCTTCTTACTGCTTTGCCTGCCTACTTAATTCAAGCTCAGAAGATAAGGTAGCTAAAATATGTGATTATTTAAAATCAGTGATTCAGAACATAAAGGTTTTGTAGAAAAATTGTCAATCTCTAAAATTCTCTATGTTTTCATGGCAATTAAAAATTCATTTCCCTTCCCTTGCCTTTTTACCTTTGTTTTCTTTTTTTCTGTGCTATATTTTCAATAATGAGCAAAAATCTGATGCAACAAACCTCAGTAAAGAAGTCCTTAGTATAGCCCTTGCCGGTTTGGCTCAGCGGTTAGAGCGTCGGCCTGCGGTCCCGAGAGACCCGGGTTCGGTTCCCGCTAAGGGCATGTACCTCGGTTGCAGTTTGTCCCCGACCCTGGTTGGGTCGTGCGGGTGGTAGCCACTCGATGTGTCCCTTCACGTCGATGTTTCTCTCTTTCTCTGTTCCTCTCTCCCCCTCCTACTCTACCTGAACAAAAAATGGAAAAATGTCCTCGGGTGAGGATAAAAAAAAAAAAAAAGTCCTTAGTACATAGAGGGTTGATTGCCCAGTCAAACCTTAGTGAGTGAGGGGCAGACTAAGGTGCAAGAATAATTTTTTTTCACTAATGCATATCTTGGAGTGATGTGATGTTTAAGGTCCTATACTATAGAATAAGGAATATATGTAACACAATCTAATAACCACTTAGATTTAAAAATTTTTTTTATTACTTATTTAAAATTTCTTTTTCTTTATTGATTCAGAGAGAGAGGAAGGGGGAGTGAGAGAGAGATAGAAACATCAATGAGAGAGAACATCGATTGGCCACCTGTTGCATGCCCCCCACTAGGGATTAGACCTACAACCTGGGCATGTGCCCTGACCAGGAATGAAACCGATGACCTCTTGGTGCATGGGTTGATGCTCAACCACTGAGCCACAGGGGCAGGGCTTTAATTTACTTCTATTGTTGAAAGTTTTGCAGATGTCCTTCCCAGGTGTTTCTTTATAAAATCCTAGTCTTCTAAAAGCATCTATATTATACTATGTTTAATCACGCTGATGTGGTGCCATAGTGTCCATACATTATTTTTCAGGTTTTCCATGACATACTACCTTTGAAGAAAATCTGTGTACCACAGTGTCATTTTTCAAGTTACTGGTTTTATCAGATGCATGTTTAAACGGATATTGGCATTTTTAACTTCTTGAGGACTAAACCAAAGGCAAACTATCCTGGTTTTGAATAACTTTTTTTGTTTTTGTTTTTGTTTTTTGTATGTGTGCATTTTGTGTTCACCTTTTTGTAAGTCCACATTTTTTCTTTTTTTTTAACCTGTAATATAGGAAGAGTTGTTATTATTTTTATTGAATTTATTGGGGTAACATTGGTTAATAAAATTGTATAGGTTTCAGATGCACAATTCTATAATACATCATCTGTATATTGACTGCAGTGGGAGGAGACTGGACTTGGAGAGGTGATCACAATTTTTCTGTCTATTACAAGATGCCAGGTTTCATCATTCTGTAACATCCTATTGTTTTGACAGCATGATCCTATTTGCACACCCCTGTTCAATTGCTGAGGCAAGGATTATGATATCCCACATCAAATCCAGTCATGATTTGGGGATGGCCTTTAAAAATCCGCATGCAAATATTTATTTTCAAAGGTGCAAAGGGCTATTCGTGAAGCACTGGATCACTAGAGGGGTCATCTTTTCAATAATCATTAAATGAGAAGTTTGTTACAATACAATTTCCCTTTTTGTTTTAATAAACTTCCATCGTCCTCTACCTCAAGACCTTTTGACCAAGAATTAAAATCTATATTGATAATTTTACTCTCATTTTTAGTTCTATAAATGAGTAGGATTATCAATTTAATTTGTCTGATGTGTCCAGATTGTGGCCATAGCTGACCTCACAACATAGGTTTATTATTGGGTCTCACCCTGAGTTCAGAAGTCGATTTTTTCATTTTCTTATGGCACATGCATAAGAATCATAGATCTGCCCATGCAAGTTAGTGTGACCCTTTAGACATCAAGGAGACATTCTCCATATTGGGGCTTTTTCTAAGAATGTATATCAAAATGTTAGTATGATTTATTTTTAATTTTTAAAATTTATTGATTTGAGTAGAGACAGATTTATTGTTTCAATAATTTGTGTATTCTCTGGTTGACTCTTGTGTGCACACAACCTTGGCGTATCTGGATGCTGCTCTAACCAACGAAGCTACCCTGCCAGGGCCAGTGTGATTTTATTTAATCCAGGTTTTCACATTTGGGGATGACTTGTTAAATTAAGTTTAAAAATCCATTTAAAAGCCTTTAATGTGGTTTGTTTGAGCCAGAACTTTATAAAACTCTAGTACTGCCATCCTGAATGATATCAGCTTAAACTATTTAATTAATTGGTTTAGGACTTAACTAATAACTGAACTAATAGATTAAGTAGTTTGATTGTTTGAACTGATAATTTAAATACAAGCGTATTAGTTTCATAAAATGACCTATTTTCTGCAGCTGAAAAATACAGCTTGTGACAGCATTTTCTTCACCTTCTAGGCTTAGTATACCCCATGTTTGATAAATAGGAAAATCTTGGAGACACAAAATATAAGATGCTACTTCTATAAAATGTCTTCTTATTTCTTAAAAAGAAAGAAAAAAAGCAGAGAAAATTATATTGTGACACCTGTGAGGCTTATGATAACTATGTTTGCCTTTCAGATCCCCAGCTCAAGGGTATAGTGACCAGATTATATTGCAGGCAAGGCTACTACTTGCAAATGCACCCCGATGGAGCTCTCGACGGAACCAAGGATGACAGCACTAATTCTAGTAAGTGACAACCTCAGGCCACCAGTTAACACGGTTGGTAGAAGGTACACTGCTAAATGACTTTTTATGGTTATGTTGGCTCATTTTTACAATGTTTCACACTAGAATGACATTTACAATTTTACTTGGACCAAATGGATAAAAATCTTAATAAGAAAAGACAACTGTTACTTTAAGATAATTCTATGAACATTTTAAGTTTTTTTCAAACAATTGTGATAACTTGCATATTATTGTTACTTTTAACCTTATTGTCATAAAGGTCAGGTTAAGTACACTAAGGCATTCAGATAGAAGTTGATTGCATGTTTCCTTTGGCAGTGTTATTTTTACCAGGCCTGTAACTTATTAATGATAATTGTGGAAACTTAAGAGCTACAAATTGCTTTAATAATAAAAATTCCATTTTTCAAACTTTTTACATTCAACAAGAAAAGATATATTTATAGAGAGGACTTGAAGGCCATGTCCCTCTCAACACATTGTATACAATATTTAACTACTTTATAGAATTGGGTCTGTGATAACATTTTTTAGTAAAAAGCCACACACTTCTTATTGTCTTCATTTTGTTATTTATATATAATGTTTCTTTGTGTTTTTATTCTGGTGTCCTTTCCCATTTCCTGTTTACATGGGCATCTGATTTCTTTTAATTTAACACATCAGTTCTAAAATAAACACACTTTCTATTGCTCAGGAAAATTAGTGGAAAACAAAAACTGATTTTATTAGAAATATTTAATTATATATTCCCAGTGGATTGGGAATGGATCTGAATCTTTTTATCTATTTATCATTTATTCTTTATGGAACTTCATTCCATGCAAAGAAGGGAGGATTTTAATGCATGTAAACAAATTATTAGCATTTTCTGTTTTAAATTCCAGCAATAAAATTTTCAATTAACACTGATTCTGAGAGCACCTAATAATACAAGATAGAGTATTTTTGCAATTGGTGTTACTATGTGAAATATCAATATTTTACAGCCATTGTGTTTATGTTTTTAAACTTTGGATATTACTTATTTTTATTTTAAGAGTTTTCTTTGTTTATCTACACTTTTTCCTTTATCAATTTCTAATCTTTTCCCCTTTTTTGTGTCTATTGTATTATCCTTTGCATTTTTAAACTTTTCCCTATCATTTTTGTTCATTGGTTTATCTTGCTTTTATTTCCTTTTTTGATTTAAGAAAAGAGAAGGTAAATTAATTCAGAGACAGGGAAGAAAGAGGAGGCATTTTTACTATAAGACCAACACCATAGTTTACTTATTGTGATTTTTATATTAGGTTGAACCTTTTAAAATTATCAGTACTTGACCATCTTTGATTTATAAAAAATGTCAGTTTCTTCTAGTTAAAATTCACACATTATCTACTTTTTTTATTTTTATTTTTTTCTATCTTTAATTCCTTATTCATTTTTTTTTCATATAACGTGTTCTTATTTTCTTGTGTCTTACAGTTGTGGGGGTTATGAACTTTGGAGATTAGTAAGTTCTGAGGTCTTCAGTGTTCTCTTATTTCCTTTGACCAGAGTCTAGCAGAGCAAGGGACATAGTTTTCCATAACTCTGATCACTACAAAAGCTATGACATTGATTTATCAGACTAGAGGCTGTTGTCATGTATTAGGACAAAGGTTTTTGAAAAAGGAAATACTAAATACCTGTATGAAAATGCAGCGTAGTTGGCCTTCTTGGAAAAACAATTTTCTTCCAATAAAAGTTTTATGATATTTTCCTTACCTTCTCCTTTGGTTTTTATAATGCCAAATGAGTTGATTCCTTTTAATTATGAGAATCAATATCAAACTCAGAATGGTCAAGTAGACTTCATTTAAAAGCATTAATCCTTCAGAATTAAAGAAGTGGCACACTGTTTTCTAAATTGTAAAGTGCAGGATGTAGACATTGTATACATTCATGCATAATTATATCTGGTTGTCTGAATAATATTAAACACTGAACTGGAAAGTTCAGATACTAAAAGATACTTGACCTTCTGATATACTATTCTCTAAATGTGTGGGGCTTCTTCCCTCCTGTTGTATAACTGCATTAGAAGAAACAGAATCTCTTGCTAACTCCTGAAATCACTTCTTATCTCCCTAAATGTTGGCAAGGAACAATTCTGGGCATGAAGCAGGACCAGGAGCCTCTGTATAAAAGCAACTCAGAACCAAATCGTAGTGCCCACACTCCAGAGACTTAAATCCCTATGCAAATATCTGGTCCTTAGTTTCTTTTCTTACAAGTTACATTGCATTTTTATGTACTTTAAGCCAGTTAGGTTAGTTTTGTTATCATTTCAACATTTGCAGCCCTCGCCTGTTTTCTCAGTGGTTAGAGCATCGGCCTGCGAACCAAGGAGTCACGGGTTCAATTCTGGCCAAGAGCGAGTACCTCAGTTGCGATTTGGTCCCCGGCTCTGGTTGGGGTCATGTGGGAGGCAACCAATCGATATGCCTCTCTCACATCAATGTTTTTTCCCCCCTCTCTCTCTCTCTCCCCCGCTCCCACTCTGTCTGAAGATAAATAGAAAAATATCCTCCAGTGAGGATTAAAAAATAAAATAAAAACATTTGCAAAGACATAGCAAAGCAGTATAAAGCAGGATGAGATACAGGTTCTCTCCTCAAAGGCAATAAAAATTGCACAACTATGAAATTTAATAAAACTTGGCAGAATTATAGCAGCTTTATAAAAGCAATAAGAATAACTAATTAACTACTTGTATGTATTGTCAGCTTTTCAATTGAAATATATAGTTCTTATGATGAATTTTGATATCTTTTATTTTCTCTGGTTCACTTCCGTAGCCTTATGCATCTTAAGAAAATTCCTAGCACAGAAAGGTGTTCTTTAAATGAGAGCATGAGTTGGAGAGAGGTCTTGATTAGAGCACTGTCCTTTTGGTTTGAGAAAGGGTGTCATATAACTATTCACCAACGTGTTTTGGTTTTTTGATAATTCTCTGAACACAAAGCAAGGACTAGTAGGAAGAATAAGGAGAAATAACCTGAAAATTGCCCTAATGCCACCCAAAAGTTACCAAATAACAAACCTGAGGCTTAAACCTTCAATCTTCATGATTTCAGTTCAACACATATCCCACTACTAAAAATGAAATTATTTAGAACGAGATAAAGTTGCCTTGGAAGTTGCATTTGTGAACATTTTTAGATAAGCCAAGAAGAGGAAAAAGACCAGCAGACAGGTGAATCTGATACTTATGTCCTCCCAGGGTTTCCAGCCTGAGATGTAGAAATCTCTGGGAGGAAAATGGCAAGAAATGGTGGATTATGGATAATTGTCCTAACAGAGAGGATTCTGTAACAACTTGACTATTGAGCTTTGGCTTCTGTATGCCCTAGAAAGATTGTTCGCAAGGTGAAGTGAACAGCCAGGTTACTTCATGACCACACTCATTTTCAGGGGGTACTTTTCTAACATTCTTAGTACTTTCTTTCTACCTACTAGACATCAGCATTACCATGAACTATGGTATTTGATTAGAGAGTGGTTTTCTTCCCCTCAGTTTGCTTTTGGGGATGCCATGGAATTTTCCTGGCTGCTAAACTTCATTGTTTTAGTTACCAGACTTACACTCAAACAGAACAGGACTGTCGAAATACCAGTATGCTAGTAACTACAGCAGTGTCAAAACCTCATACAAACCAATCCCTCTCTCCTAGAAATTCTCAGCATAATACCTGGATGTGTAAAAATTGCCAAATTGACATTCATACCACGATCCTTAGGGTGGTGGTTCTCATCTTGGCTGTACATTAGGGTCATTTGAGGAGCTTTCAAAAAATCATTTCTTTTTTCCCCAATTTTTATTAACTTATTTTTGTTACAGATGTTTCTCTTTCTGCCCCCAAGACAACTTCCTCCCCATCCCGGTCCTCCCCCCAGCATTGTTGTCTATGTCCATTGGTTAAGCATTACATGCATAAATAAATATTTCTTGTGTCCTAAACCCACTTCCTGAGATTCTGATTTAGTATGGGCTTGGACATGGCCAACCTAAAGTACAGCCAGGGTTGAAAATCACTGTTATGTGGAGAGCTAGATATTCCACAGAATAAACACAATAGCATGAACGTCCTCATATTCTTACTCCCCTAAACTTTGTGACATTGCTTTATAATTGTGTAAAATAAAAAATAAAAAAAAATAAAACAATGTCTCAGTTAATGTGGGGAATCTTTGGTTTTAATTGGCACCATGTATCCAAGGTCATCTCCGAATGATCTTCCACATTACAGTAATTATTGGATTCACTTTTTTTAAAGGAGATTTATATTTTTTAAAGTTTTTTGTTTCTTTATTGATTTTTTAGAGAGAGAGGGAGAAAGAGAGAGAGACAGAAAGAAACATCGATTGGCCACCTCCTGCATGTTCCCTCTTGGGGATTTTGCCCACAACCTGGGCATGTGCCCTGACCTGGAATTGAACTGATTTCTTGGTGCATAGGTCGATGCTCAACCACTGAGCCACACCAGTCAGGCTGGATTCACTTTTTATTATTATTTTATATTTATATTCATATTTATTTATATTTATATTTCTAAATTCAGTTCCAAAAGAAAATCCTGCAAGAAAAACTCAGTATTATTTTTAGTACGGTCATTTTAGATTATCGTTTATAATTTTTATCTTTCCCATACCTCATTATTTTGGTGAGTTCATGGTGCACTTACTTTCTAGAATTATAGTATCTGGTCTATACCAAATATATGGAACCTACAAATATCATTGGGGGGGTGTAAAGTTTAAAATAATTACATTTAAATTGATTAGGTTAGGGTAGTTCGCATGGACAGGCATACAAATATGTTTTCCCCAAAAATCTTTTGCACATAAATCAGTAATTATCCTGGTATCCATCCTTTCAAAGTATGAGGAAGGTGGAACAATTCAGATGTTCCAGAAAAGAATGAAAGTGGCCAGTGGTCTTCTTCTACAAAGAAGGAGTACTGTGAGTTACAATGACACAAATACCTCAGAGTACTCACCAACTCCACACTCATGTTTAATATTAAATGGTAGAAATAAGCAAACATAAGCCTTATTCCTCCTTAGGGATAGTCCAATGTTAGTCTGCATCGTTAAAGTTAATTATTCACCCAACCATATATGCCCTGAGAATTCTTCTAGGGTTAATCACCTACAGCCATGGCCTGTCATTTTCCTGTTACCAGTTGTGTAGCACAGACATCTTTGCATTTTGGGATCAGTCACATGTAATAGCTGGAAGAGAAGGAGTAACTTTCTGTACCCTATTCAAAGAAAATATATGCCTCCAAATTAAATAGAACACAATATATAAAGTCCATGTTTTGCTACTGAATAGACCCATAGATTGAAGTCAAAATTGCCCTCATTTTTCAAATTATTTGTATTTCATGGAATACAGTTGATAACTTAACCCTGAAAATATTTTATTTATACATTTACTTCAACATTTTTGTTCTACATTGCCTATTCTGTCCTGGTCCTATTGCTTAGAATTAGATGTGAATTAAAAGGAACTTGAATGAGAACAGACAACCTCCCTGTAAATAACTAATAGTTCTCATATAAATGTAACTGTAATAAAATCTCCCAAATCATCTAGTCACTACTAAAAATGATGCTGGAATACCCACTAAATAGTCAATATGCGACACTGGCATGGAAATGTGTTAAAAAGATGTTAAGATGTCTTAAAATAACCAATATAACATTGCTATCTGCACTATGTGGAAAAGAAATGAAAACACTCCTTTGTCAATAAGGGAAGAAGCACAACATGGAAACAAATTTTTATCTCTAAGGCAGGAAAATTGAGCAGTTTTCTCCTTTTTATTTTAGTTTTCACTTACAGTTTTATGAAGCATTAATAAAGAAAATTGTCTTTCTAAAATTTGCATTGTGTTCAGTTTGATTAGTTCTTCCTAATTTTAGCACATTATCAGATGCACATCTTTTCTGGGCTCTGCTGTCATATCCTGTTGGTTCAGCAACAGTAATTGTTTGGAATTACCTTTTTAACTCTGGCCTGTCCTACATTGCAATGACTATGCACACCTTCTGCATGGAAGACCAGAATAAACAGTCAACTTGGACTTTAAAAATTCTCCTCTTTGAGAATCTTCACAGCTGATTACTTTGGTATCAAGTAGTGTCAGAGACTGCGATACTAGAAGCATAATTACAGGCTTGATTTTGTTCATTTTCTCACCAGCTCTTCAAAATGCTATAGGCAGACTGCTAAGATCTACATACTGAAGTTCAAGTGCTTATTTTATTCCTAGCAGAAACTTCTTAATGAGAAAGAGAAATAAAAGTTAGTTAACTGGAAATTCTCAGGAGGCTGTAACAAAGACGATGTTGCTTAAATAAAATAAATGAAAATGATAGCAGTGCTTTGCTTCTTTCTGCTCGTTGTGACAGACCACGTTTCTCTTTCCAGCACTGTTCAACCTCATACCAGTGGGACTGCGTGTCGTGGCCATCCAGGGAGTGAAGACAGGGTTGTACATAGCCATGAATGGAGAAGGTTACCTCTACCCATCAGTAAGTGACATGCCGAAGCTATTAGTCCTTCATTCAATGTTTACAAAATAACAGTAGCAACGATAACAAAATGAGAAAGTTCTGTGTCTATTGACTCTGCCATTTTTTAATCTTTACTACAGTGTTGTAGGAGCTGTTTATTCATTATTCATTAGTTTTTGGTAATATCAGCATATCAAGCAGAAGAGTGATAATACCTCGTAAAATTGTGCATCTACATATTTTAGAAGGTGACCCAGCTGATAGAAAACTGAACAATTTTGAAAGAGTTGCTGTTAATATAATCTTTTTATTTCTATTTGGGAATGTACTTGTCTTTGAAAGTGTCTTGTAAAGTATTATTTTATAAAAAGAAACAATTAATGTGAGTTCTAAAAAGAAAAAAAATTTTAAAGGGAGTACTTCTCTCGAAAGTAAGAATTCAAAATGTATAAGCATTTTACTGGGAAAATACTTCTAATATCAAAATGTATATTGCTTTTAACTGTAAGCAAGTCCTTTGTTATGTGTTCACGTAGGTCAGAAGTTGAGCACTTTTCCAGCCATATAACCTCTTGTGGAATATTTAATATTTACAAATATAATTTGCGTTCTGATGTGTGTATACATACATTATAATCCTTATAGAATTCATTTCTGCCATAGGTTCAGCAATAGAAACTTAGATGAAAGTATTTTCTACTGTCTTTCAATAGATTGAAGTCATGGTGCCTCAAAGAAAAATGCTTTCATTTGGGCGTGCATGCCATTTTCATCTATATTATTTAAAACTCTGTCATTGTTAAATACCATCATCAAAAACACCACATGTAAACATGCATCCGAACATTACACACAGGCATACACACATGCACAAAGAAATTAAGAAGAAACATTTTCTGGAACCTCCCATAAAATTTGATACATTTTCTTTAGCAAATCTGGGAAATCCTGTCAAAGAAAATAAAATGTGAGTTGTGGATTCCTTTTGTGGTGAGCCGGAACTTTCTTCTGCATTCCCTGGAGGTGCTCTGGCATGCAGTTCTGGGCCCCTCAGTATGCAAATTGGGTTTTGTTGCATAAGATGAATATTCAACATACTGGGAGCAAGATCAATCTAGAACTCCCTATTCCTCCTTGAGAGAAAATTCAGTTCAGATAAAGATCATTTTCTAAAGATGCTTTATTTCAGATATAAATCAATTTTATTGATTTGACATTTATTCTGTTATTTTTGTTTCTCTTCCCCCAAGTAATCTTTGAGATGCCTAAAAATGATTAGATTCAGTGTGTGCCATAACCTGTGGTCCTTAGTTTCTGTGGATGATTCAATCACGTTGTTATGCTCTGGTAGATGTGTTGATGTCGGGAGAAATTAAAATGTTTGTTTTACTTTTGCTACTGGGAGAGACGCTTTAGATACATATTTTGTGTGATGAGGTTGAACAAGTGTGCCATTTTATTAAAGGTAGGAGTATGTGCATTAACCTAAAATGCAAGTCAGTACTGGTTACATTCAGTGCAATCTAAGCAGTGCAGCAGGAATAGAAGTGAGGAAGACACCAACCACTGGTCTAGTCTTCAGCATCCTGACCGGGCCTCCCTGCCCAGGAGTCAGACCTGCCAGCAGCAGCACCTGCCCTGGGGTTTGTCCCAGTGAAGACTTCATGCATATTCTCCAACGCAGTGATTTCTATTCTCTCCCCCATGATTCTCCCTGATTACTTGGTTTCTGGTCTACCCATTTGGTGGCTTGATACTCTGATTTGTAGATCTTGGTTTTCACCCCTGCCTATCTTTGACTCTCTACTCTGAACCCAGATTCTGGTAACAGACACTCAATTCGCCCAGTCCCTAACCTAAGAGATACCCTCTGCCCAGGCTAGGCCCTTGGAATCCTCAGCCATCTTTCAGGAAAAGGATTTAAATAAAAATCAAATGTAATTTCCAGTGTTTACTAATACTCCATAGTTAAAGTGTTCTGTTTATTTCAATGTAATAGAAATCAAACATCAAATATTTCAGTAAAGAGTGTTTTTCCACATTCAATCATTTATTCCATAGTTATGGAGAGCCTACTAAATAATAATATAGCAACACAATGTAACAATTATTATACTATGTAATAATAGATCTACTTATAAAATAATAATAATGATAGTAGCTCTATTTATATAGTACACTCTGCCTAGCACTGTTTTAAGCACTTTATAGATTAGCTCATTTAATCCTTGAAGCAGCCTATTAAGGAAATACTGTTAAAATGATGAGACTGATATATAAAAAGTTTAAGAATCTGTGCAAAGTCACCAAAGTGGAATATAGAGAAGACAAGATTTGAGCACTATTAGTCTGACTCATACTTACAATTTTTTTTTAAAATCTTCACCAGAGGATATTATTCCATTGATTTTTAGATAGAGTGCAAGGAAGGGAGGGAGAGAGAGGAAAAAATTTGAGAGGGACACATCAATTGGTTGCCTCCAGTACCACCCCAGCCAGGGCCAGGGCCAGGGCCAGGAATCCAACCTGAAATTCAGGTATGTACCCTTGACCAGGAATTGAACCTGACACTCTTTCGTCCTCAAGCGGAGGCTCTAACTGCTGAGCCAAACTGGCCAGGGCTTTTTTTTTTTTTTTTTTTTAACTGTTTCACTATACAGTATTGCATCCATGCACCAGACATTTTCATAACATGGTCTGGCATCTTCTAATAACAACTTATAAACACATGATGAAATAATGAAAACATTCAGAGATTTGATACTTAGGGAAGGTACTTTGTTTTAATTATTAAAAAGTGTAATTTGAAACAATCTGTTTTCTTCAGAGATTCTCAAATAAAACAATGAACATCATAAAAATTTTATTTATGCAGGAAATGCTTGATATTAACTAGTGGGTGTTAAATATTCTTAAAGTTTATTCCATGTAATGTTTGAGCTTTCTATTTAAAGCCAGGATGGCTAACCCAACTAAAGTTTTGAACTCGGTTGAGTAATTTTTTTTTTTTATCCTCACCCAAGGACATTTTTCTATTTTTTGTTCAGATAGAGTGGGAGAGAGAGAGAGAGAGAGAGAGAGAGAAACATCGACGTGAAAGGGACACATCAAGTGGCTGCCACCTGCACAACCCAACCAGGGCCGGGCACAAACTGCAACCAAGATACATACCCTTAGCGGGAACCGAACCTGGGTCTCTCTGGACCACAGGCCAATGCTCTAATCGCTGAGCCAAACCAGCCAGGGCACCTCAAAATTTTTTAAAAGAAGCCTCCAACCCTGGCTGGTTTTCTCAGTGGTTAGAGCGTCGGCCCTGGTCAGGGTCATGTGGGAGGCAACCAATCAATTGGTTTCTCTCACATTGATGATGTCTCCCTCTCTCTCTCTCCCTCCTTCCGTCCCTCCCACTCTATCTGAAAATCAATGGAAAAATATCCTCAGGTGAAGATTAAAAATAAAAAGGAGAACTCCAGTGAAGCTCAGGTTTAAAGAAAATAGTTAATAAAGATTAAAGTCTAAGAAATGAAAGAAGCTGTTTTTAGCTTATGCCCACTTTAAACGATAGACCTGATATTTGTGCAGTGTAAACCAGTGTCTAATATGTGACCAATTTTATTGAGAATGTAGGCAATAAAATACTCAGATCAAGGTGAAGTCTGTTAAATAAAAATCACACTAGTGATTTAACTCAAGGTATATATATTCCTTTGTTTGTGTTTCAGGAAGTCACTCGTAATCCCTTGCCATCCAAATAAAGATATTTAATTTGTCGGAGAATTCTACCTCACAGGGACAAAAAGTGATCTTGACTGAGATGTAAATAATCGCATTTCTTATGCTGAAGCTGCTTGTTCTTTATGGCATTTTCTCTTTAACATGACGGTAGTGATTTCATTTGTGGTCATAATGCTCATAATGTTACTTAAAGTTGTATCTCAAGAGATTTAGTGACAGATATAACCAGTTTGCTTGCAAGTAGGATGCAGGCTGCAACGCTGCAGAACAGCAACTGACAAGGAAATACTTTGTTAAAAAATTAGTGTGGAATGGTGTTTAGGATCGAAATATATTTTGATCTCCTGTAAACTATTGATAGTGCTGTGAGGAACAGTCAAGATTTTTTCCCCTCTTCCAAACAAACTATGACTTAGACTAAGAAAAGCCTCTAACGTAAATACTGAAGGAAAGCACGGCATGAAAACAAATATGTATCATTCATTCTTTAAACAGAGAGAGAGAATAGTTGAAATCGCACTGTGTTTCTGATAGAAGAAAAGGAGGAGGGTAAGGGAGAAGGGAGGAAAGAGACTGATGATACCCTGGAGAAAGCCCTGGCCCTTTTCAGAATGCCTGGATCTTAGACCTGAAGGCCAATACTGTGTCACCATGTCCCAGACTCTCTTGTTCTCAGTCTTCTCATCTGTAAGATTAAAGGGCTTCCCTGGGTGCTTTAAGTTAATATTGAGGTTGAAAATTCTGGCTTTAGCTTGATTGATTTTTCTGAATGATGTGGTAAGAAATGTACATCAAATATATAAAGATTTATTATTGCTGTCTTACCACCAGCTGACATTTATGAGAATATAAGTTTCCAAATGGTGCTCTACATGTTTCTATTACCTAGATGCTGGCATCTGGGAGGCAGTAAGCCCTGGTGTTCTCCTGAAAGTATTATTTCATCTGAGTCTTATAACCAAGCGATACAAGTGGAGAGGAAGACAATCCCTTTCCATGTAGGTTTTTATAATGATTCAAGAGAATGCTTTGCTACTGTGTTTCGCAAGCATTAAGTCTCATAAGAATCACTTGAAGAGAGTAGGAAAACATGGATTCCTTGGATCGACCCCTAGCTATGTCAATTCAGTAAGTCTGGTGGGAGGCCCAAGAATCTACAGTTTGTTAAGGATCCCCCTACCTCTCCCTCCTGCCCACTGGTGGGTGATTCTGCAGCTCAGCAATCAACAACCACACAACAAGCATTGTTGCAATGGCCAGTGAAGGCGGTGATAGCTTTAGAC